GCGATCCCACCTTCCTTTTTCTCCTCATCATGTCGGCAGGCGGGGACTTCGGCAACCCGCTGCGGAAATTCAAGCTCGTCTTCCTCGGGGAGCAGAGCGGTGAGTGTGTGTGTGTGTGGGGGGGGAGACACACGGTCTGACTCCCTCCCTCCTTGGCCCAAACTGGGCCCAGATCCTGACCGAGTGGGGGTGGGGAAGAAGGAGGCAAAGAGAGAAAAGAGGGGGATATGTTGCCTCCGGTTTCTTCTTCAGAACCCCCCCCCCTTTCACAACAGAGCATTTTCTCTTCCCTTTTGGCCCCGATCCAGGCGCAGTCCTCGATTTCCTTCATATTCTCATCGTTTTCTCTCTCTCTCTAACCCCCCCTCCGCACTTCATTTTTTCTTCCCCCTCTTTGCCACCTAGACAAATGGTGGGAAGGGGGGGAAGGGAAGTCGGATCGTGGGGTGGGGCGAAGAAGGAAAAAACATCCATCTGTCTTAACGATAGGTTTTATGTATGTGTGTGCATGCCTCTATGTCTACTTTTTTTCAAATTTGCATATATGCATGTTTTTTAAGAGATGGCATACATAGGTGCATAGATTATTTTCACCTTTGTCATGTTCTCCTGTGGAATCAGCGGTCCTGTTCCTTATTCTGACTCGTTTGGGAAGAAAGGAAAGGGTTACCTGTGAAAAGGTTACCTTCCTCTCTTCTCTTAGGACAAGAATCCAAACAAAGGCGGCCCCAAAGGGAACATGCATTTCCCTCCCATCCTGTACCTTTTCTGCTTATTGCTAAATTGCCCTCTGTATATATTTCGAGGTCCATTTAAGAAAAACCAATTCAGACTTCCAGCCTGTTCCTGTCTCCTTCCTTCCATAGAAATGTGCTATGCCTCTCCCAATCTGTGTATGACTCTGTTTCCCATTTTTGGGAGTCAAGAGAGTCTACCTGCTCTTTTGGATTGCACAGCCCAAATGCAGTGGTTAAACAATCATGGAATTGTGACTGGAAAAAAACCCAACCCTTGTCCCTTTCCTCTTCATTCAGCATTCTCCCCCTTTAATTTCATTCTGGGAGCCTAGTGGCTGTCTCTGAAATCTTGCTACTGCAATTTTCTTCTTAAGGTTGTACAGTGGGAAGGCCCTTTTCCCTCTAAGAAAAAGATTTGGTCCAGAGTCTGCTGCAGTGGAACCTCTTCTCAGCTCTCTTGGGGCTCCAGCTTCTTGGGGGAACAGTTTATTATTTATTTTATTTATTTATTTAAAATATTTTACCCCACTTTTCTCCTTAAAAGGACCCAAGACAGGACAGTATCCATTATTAAAAAGACAATACCTAAAAGCTGAAAACAATAAGTGTGCAAATTTAAGATTCAACAAATGTACAGTCACCCATATTTTCTCACATCTGTATAATTATCCTCGTCACTTTAGAACTGCAAAGCTGGAAGGGACCCTATGGAAGAGGCACAATGAGAAATCAAAGTCCCAGCTTCTGGCTCTGCAGCCAGTATCTAAACCACTGAGCTGTCCAGCACTGTCCTCTGATTCTTTATTCCCTAGTTTTTTCAGGGAAAAGATTAAAGTTTTAACTCAAAATTGGTTGCTTCTAGTAGTTAGGAGATAAATTCTTTTTGGTTACCCACAGTGATTCCTGTTGCACCTGCTCTTAGGAGGATGAGATGTTTGTGGCACCTTTGTCTTGTCTCATTTTAGCTGGCTTGATTTTATTTGTTATAGTTGTGTTACTGTTTGTTGGATTAATTGATTGTGAACTGCCCAGAATAGAGCTTTGCACCAATAGGCTGGTACACAAAGTTATGAAACAGATAAATAAATTAGAAAAGGGCTCTTACCTGTTTTCCAATCAATGAAATCATGAATTACATGAAAAAATTAAGGAGAATGCAAATTTCATTTAATTTAGTATGGGCTGTAATTCACCTTTTTTTCCTTTTGAAATGCTGATCCCTGACAGTGTTCTGTCATTTGCTATATTTAAGCAACAAATAAAGTACAACCCTATTGATTCATATATTCTTCATGTTTGCCAGGCCTGCAGTGAAGTGAGGAAGCTGAGGGTTCTGCTACAGTATGTGTTTCCAGACTTAAATACAGGTTCCTTGTGGGGGAGGGGGGACCTATTTCAAACAATCATAATACAGTAGTCTGTATGGTTAACCTAGTGAATCTGTCCTCTGTCTTTCTCACTCTGCCTTTACTTGTGTGCCCACTAACTCCTTAGGAAGTCAGGCTTTTGTGTTTCTTAGGTAAGATACAAAATCCAGATTTCCCATGTTTTGTGTGTAACTTAACATTCCAGGTTTGGAGTGTTTCCGAAAGTTCTATTATGGAGGTATTTATTGTCTATGCAGAAGAGTCCAAAACTTATCCATGGTAGGTTCACTTAAGAAAGATCATGGATAAGTAGTGAGCTGAGAATGAAGTAACAGTACTGTAATAAGGTACCGCTGCAGTAGTTTTGCAGTATGTTGTTCTAATTGACTATGAGCCACCTTGAGTCCATTAGGAGGAGAAAGGTGGCATATGAAAATTAATCAATCAATCAGTATGGAAACTGTACTAAGTAAGGATGACTAGTCAGCTTACTTCAGTATAAGGGATATTTGTAAATGTAAACAAATATTGGTTTCCTGGTGGTTATATACCAATCAGGATGGTAAACGACATCAGAATGAATGTTTGCAATCAAAATTAGAAGCATGTGGGGGGCAAGGTTTGAAGCATTTAATACATAGAGATGCTAACACACAAAACATTATTTTTAAATAGCAATATGTTTTACATTCGGCTATCCATGAAACTGGCTTGCATTACCTTTTTACTTAGAGGTGGGTGAAAGAAAATCAGTCTATTTCTCAGGAAGAAGAGTCTTCCTTTGTGGGTTTTGGGGATGGGGTAACAGTTGAGTTTGCATACATCAGGAGCCTCCTTTGCAAGGTATCTAAATACATTTCAGGACAGGTATTTGTTCCTAGTAAATACTGTACAGATAAAGTGAAGGCAGAGTACTAGCTTGACACCTTTGGGTCCTGCTGTCTGGCCTGATTTGGTTTGGTTTGTGAGAATCCTTTGGAATAGGCCTTTGGGAAGGACTTTTGCTGTAGTAGATTTTTTTCCTGCTTAATAGATATTTACTCGATTTCTTTCCTTTTATCAATTTGAAATACATTCTAGTTACATAGCAAAGTCTTGCGTACTTGTGATGTACTTTTTATCCTGTCATTATGTGTGCCAAGATGGAATCAAATAGATTGCTGAACTGAGATCAGATTTAAACATTTTTATGTGGGCTGAAATAGCAATATTTGTGATTCTTCAGTTCTAAAATAATCTGTCTATTCTATTCTGAAATAATTTATAAAACAAATTTTGCATTACTGTGAGCTGTTTGTTTCTGAAGTTGACATGTTCTTGTCTTTGCTGAGATCTACTGTCAGCATTCTTCTCTGCAGAGGTGGAGAACCTATTAACATGGTTAATCCTCGGAGGCTGATGGATCCAGTTGTTTTCCAGATAGCTAGGAGGAAAGGAGATTGTTCTGGGTAGCAAAACCTTGGAGCTTTATTCAATCTGTGCAATGCAGAAATGGCAAGGGAAGTTGATGCAATTGCTCTTAAGTGTTCTCAGTTCTGGCAGCAATCAAGCAAATCAGTAGATACTAAAACTATAACTGGAAGGAAAATCCAGATACTGTATGTGCAAACAAATACTGTTAACAAGTGCCCATTAGCAGGTTTACTCAATGACAATAAATGCAGCAAAGAAGACTCTCTCTATATACTGTATTTGGTATGTCACTAGAGTTATGAAGCAATTATTAAATTACTAAACACTCATTAAAGTTTAAGTAAAAAGTACTAAATAAAAATTGCTTTAAAACATTTTAAAATATTTTTTAAAAGACAGGTGCCTTATTGAAATTCCTTTCTGAGTAGCACTTGGCTTATTACAGGCTTGTCTGTATATGTTCCGATATATGTCATGTGATGGAGCTTTACAAACGTTTGGATCATTTTGTGTGCTGCTCTGAATATTATGAAGCCCTCTGTTGTCCATTATCATTTGTTTGCCAAGTGTTGTGGAGATAAAATTGCTTTCATTCCTCAGGATCTAGGTTTTGCTGTTACAGCAGATCATACTCAAGAGATTTAATTATAATAAAAGCAAAATGCATTCCTCAGGATCTAGGTTTTGCTGTTACTCAAGAAATTTAATTATAATGAAAGCAAAATAGAAATAAAAAGGAAAAAAGACAAAAATATCTGATGAAGTGGGCTTGTTCATGAAAGCTCACATAAAAATTATAAGTCTTTAAGGTACTACCATATTTTTGTCTTTTTTTAACCTTTTATTTCTCTTTTGCTTTTACTTATAATGTTTTCACAGACTAACATGGCTACCCCTTCTACAACAAGAAACTTTAGTATTTTCCTACTATTTTTGTTAGATGAGTTTTACAAAGTGCCTGAAATAAGTGTTGCTTAGCATAGTAATTTCTTGCTAGATTAAACCCATTGAATCGGTAGCACCTGTGAAATTGACTCACCATATCCTTACTGATTCAGTGGACCTACTCCAGTTGCTACATACTTAATACTGTATGGTGTAGTTAGTGGATGGAATTTGAATTCCTGCTTAGCCATGTAAACTCATTGAGAGTATGGAACTGGTAAATCCATACAATAAATATCTTACTTGCCTTGAAAGCAACAGGATTCCAACCATTATTTCTTGCTTAGAAGGCTTCAAGGGACCACCTGCACTCTTGACTTCCTCTTGGATAAAATATAGTAGGGAGGGAAAAGTTGAGTGTACCAAAGGGATGAGCTGTGCCTCCTTGTTTGAGGAAATGATCTTCAGCTGCTTGAAGGAAGCAGTAGTAAGGCATTTTCTTTAAAAAAAATCACCCTGAACAACTGTACAATGGTTGCTGATATTGAACAGGTGGTCACTAACCAGTTAAAGGGGCTTTAGATGAGGCATGAGTTTTCTCTTAAAGTGGAACTGCAGAATTTTCTGGAAAAAAATTTCAATGATTTAAAAAACATTGTTTGATTTAGCATGATTGGTCTGTTATTGAAGAAAATTA